GAGCGTTTAACCTTTGAAAATCTCCCACGGGTCTCCTGTCGTTTGTGCTTTTTTTTTTTTTTTTTTTTTTTTTTTTTTTACGCCATGCGTAGAGGAGAGGAGTAATTACTTTTCAAGGGTCGTATGTGGCCTAAATTGATCATTTTTCTAATTTCATTCTTAGCAATTTTTAATCTATCTGGAGCTAGTCTCCTAGGCTTACATGAAACCCAGGAGGACCAGAAGTTTTAATGAAATGCATAGTATTGTGCTTAACAGACTTATTCAGATCAGGAAGCTTTGACAGTGAAGGATAGTTAGATGGTAATTTATCATATACACTATTTGCAATAATTGCTTTAATAGAATACAAATGAGTTAATTATACTGGAATTAATATTTTAATGAGTTTTTTAAATCCACAAAATTTTTGTTCCTTAAATCAGGTAGCAAATCAAAATAATGCAAAAAAATCAGATCCAATAATATTCTTTGACACTTTACACACATAAAAAACAAAATTAAAATTGCGACGAATACAGAGGTCAAGACTTAAAAGTGTTTTGTCGGTAAACCGGTGTACCGCTGGGAGCCGAAAAAATTGTAGGTGTCTACCAGGAGACTGACATCTGAGCCAGTGTCACACAAAAACATTTTATTTGACTTTCTGTCTCTAATAAAAAGGCAACGAGACTCAAAGGGTAAAGCAAGTAGCCATTACACTTTCCCTCGTTCGTTTCCCTGGAACGTACATGGAAAAACACACTTTTTGCTTTCTCATTAAATTTGCGATCATATCAGCAATAGGAAAAATTCGAAGCAGCTCTAGATGAAGGGCTTCGCTTTCCGTTAAAGCGGTTTTTGGACAAACTGCGTGATCGTTGTCGAGGCAATTCCTCACCACGCAATTTGTAGACCTCACCCAGTAGGTAATCCAATTTAGAATTATTAGACACACTGACTGATACAGGTGAAGAATCTGTACTTACATGAGCGGGGATAGCTTCTAAATTTCGATCGGCAATACTGGCAGCTGTCGAAGAATCGAGCAGCTCTACCGACGCAAAGATAGATTGAACATTTGACGGCATTTCCTGAATAAGCAACCCCAGTAACAGTTATACCAATATATCATGTTTTTTCCGCACTCCTTTCATGACACGAAGCAATTTGGATGGTTTTCTGTCTCCAAGTTGCTCCGCGATGAGTAATTTCAGGAATTTCTTAGTACTGCTTTCCCCACAACCAAGGTCGGATTTGCGTATAAGCTATACAAAGTATAGCTTAGGGCCCCCACTTTCTTGGCCCTCCCCAAAAAAATTAAAATATAGTATAAATAGTATTAAAATACATTACAGCAGGCTTATAAAGGGCCCTATATCTCAGATAGCTTAGGGTCTTATCAAGTCTAAATCTGGCTTTGTCCACAACGCTCCGAATGGCAGCTTTCAGATTTTCGTAAGAATCTGTGTTTTTTCGGTGTATGATATCTCGATCCAAAGAAGCAATCAATAGTTAAATTTCGTCTTGTGATCCGTAATAGGTTTTGGTGCGGTTAAAGCAAACGTTGATTCGCACATAGCAGATCACAATACCGGATCAATAGGATTGTCAATTGGTATCTTCACGGCTGCTGTTTCTTTCATGGCAGTGGCTGTAGCGAAGAATACGAAAGTCCTGAAAACCAAAGCTTTTGTAGTTTCATGAGTTTAGACGGGTCGCCATTTTAAGTATGAAGGGTATGTCCCGGTGAATATTCTTAGAAGACATCACTCCACATCGCTAAAATACTATTCATTAAAACAGGAAAACTGCTACACGAATGCTCGAACCTTCCTTGCACTCGAGATAAGGGCAATGTGAGTGAGTTTGCTGGTCGCGCCGGCGGTTATTACGAAAAAAACGACTTCATCTGGCGGCTCGCGCAGCCGAAAATAAGGCTGCCACAATTGAGTTTTCACTTAGCGGTAATGCAAAAATACAGAAAATCTGAAAACATCTTTATTAAAAATTGTAGAATACAGAAAAACATAAAACACCAAATACAGTTAAGGGGGGGCAAAACAATTTTCACAATTAAAATTAGAGTTTCTACGCAAAAGCAAACAATTCAGCCAGTGGGCAAGAAAGCATATTTTTAGGAGCAAAAAGCTAAAAGCTTACTTTTGGTCCTAATCGGAAAAAAGGCGTTGAAAATGCAGTAACTTACTTAATTCACTGTTTTACTGAGTTTCAAATGTAAACAAATGGCTGTTTGTTAGGCTTAACTCGCCACTTAAACTTTTGAATTGTTGATAACTCTACAACTATTGCATGCAGATTAACTAAAGACCTTAAACGGAGCAGGAAAACCACATAATTTAATCACTTTTAAAGCAAAATACACACAATTTAGCAACATATAACTATAGAGAAACTAAGCTCACCAAGCCAGGTAACAGAGTGGGAATATATATATACATATTTATACATGACTACTGCAGCTGGCTGCAACGAAAAACTGAAGTACACAATTACATGTTATAGCAGTCCCGTATACAAAATTTTAACGTTCCACAGCTCTTCGTTCTGAGTTATGCGAGATACATGCATACATACATAAAATTTTAACGTTCTACGGCTATTTGTTCTGAGTTATGCGAGATACATGCATACATACATAAGCACAGACGTCAAGAAAAAATATCGCCTGAATCTATTTTAAATCCATTTTGAAATCCTTTTTGGCAAAAATAGTCCTTTATTCTGTTCTTACTAAAAGATGTCGTTTAAATGGTTTCGAGAGCGGTTGAAATGAATATTTTGGTTGAAATATGATAACCGAAATTTTTCGCGATTACGATACTTCCTTTATTTCGTACAAGGAAGTAATAAATGGCCTATTCAGCCTTTCGTTTCATAATCCACGCCAAATGGTTATTAATTAAAAAAAAATTATAAATGAAAGAATGTAGCGCATTAGAAAACCACAGAGGAGTATCATTGAATGACCTTGCAGGGAAATAAAACAACCTTGATTTATCCTAATTTATTTTCTAATTCCTAAAAGTGGGCGCTGTAAAATTGGAGCTTTAAAATTAAATACGTCGTGCTTTTTTGTCTTACGCAATTGAAACTTATTTTAGTTTATGTTTTATAATAAGTCCAATCTTCTCCTAGATATGAGTATAGGGACCAGGAGAACGCATGAAAGTTAGATTTCGTAATTTTTGCAAAACTGATTTTTTATATTTTAAAATATCAAAGCTTAAATATTTGATCATTTAAAACATTTTTGTAATTGGAAGAAGAGTCAACTTCCGCTAAACTGATACGCGATAAACAGTCACCCAACTTAAACCATTAGTTTTGCAAAGTCCTTTCGAACTGAATTGGAAAATAGTGATTGAAAAAAAACTGCTGAACGTCATTTTAGAAGTGTCATACCAGCTTGAGCCATAACTTTTTAAACATGAGGTTGTTTTTTTAACAACGAAACACAAATGGGAAAAACAACGAAAATCAACCATACAGCTAAGCCTTTCGCCTGGGTTCGAAGCCGGTCGAACTACCAGTATTCAGCTGTCTTAACCATTCGGTCACTAGTAGGACAATTTAAAATTCGGATACTTTCTGATTAGATATCTGTCTAGGAAAGGCAATATCTATCATCAATTTTACCTGCTTAGCTCACAGAATGCATCACAGTGAGTGGTACTACAGCTTAAGGAAATGAAAGATGTATCGTTTAGATGTTTCTGTGTTATCTACCTACCAATAACTCAAAAAGTAAGACAGCTGATACTTCAAACTACGTTTAAATCTCAGTAAAATACAGTGTTTGCATAGGGTTTCTAAGTTTTCACGCGTTCCGTGTAAAGTGAAGAGGTGCCAGTTCCTCTTAGAAAGCCTTGTGTGAAGCATTCTTCTTCTCAGATAAATAGCCTTGAATGTGTTTTGCTTTAATATATTAAACAACAAGACCTCCTCTAAACTAGAAGAGAAACACGCTAATGTGACAATCAAACAAAGTAATTAAAAATCATACAAAGTAATTAAAAATCGTAAAAACAACCTTGTATACCTACGCTAAATACAAGGTTGTTTTTTACGATTTTGAAGACCTCCTCTATTAGGAGTTCGAACTCGGAACCATCAGTAAAGCTGTATTATCTACTCACTTAAATGATTGAGCAGCCTCTAGTTAAACTGCGAAAAATTTAACTTTTATATGTATATAAATTAGATAGAAAATCCTTTACAAAAGTAACACGTTGTCTTACTAGACAGCCTTAAGTATTATGTCATAATTCAATAAGTTAATTATTCTAAGTTAAGTAAAAATAACAATGCCCTTCTAAAGTTAATTAAAACAGACTGAGGAGTTTCATAAGCGAAACTACATATCAATGAAGTGCTTTTCAACTATCACTGAGCTCATTTTCTAGAGTTACTTATTATTATACATTCTTCGAAATTGTGTTTTATATTTGAAAAACATTTAGGGGATGCAGGGCTATTCCGTAAGCAGAAACGACATTGTTTAAGGAAAAGATGACGCGAAGCAATGATTATTAAAGCTAGAAAAAATGCTTCCGCCAGATGTCGTGATTTGTTTAATAAATTATTTATTTCTTGCAATGAGAAAATACCGACTTCTATGAGTGCTCATACAAAAGTAATTAAAAATTACAGTAAAAGACTTCCATATTATCTTATAGCTTATTATTTTGTTAAAGCAGTAATGTGATGAAAATTAAGAACACGTTTAAATAAATTTCAGTTTTGGCTAATGTATTTAAAAGTAATGAAAGTGTATTAACTACTGGTTTTATTCCCATTTGTGTTTCTTTTTTTTTTTACTTTAAAATTACAGCCATATATAATTTGCATTCGTTTTTTCATATTCGTCGCAAAACTGCTTACTTGCAATTGCATCATTGTTCTTTCAGAACAACCCATATTACTTAATAACACCCCCCTTATGCAATTTATTTTTTCTTTTAAAAACTAAACTTCAAATAAAAAATAAAAGTACATACTTGTTCTTCTTCTGAAGTCAAATATGTATTTCTGACTGGAGCATGTGGAGTTGATTCATCTCGTTTCTTTACTTGAGGTAAAGGATGCAAGGGTATCCCATAAGCTAAACTTTTCAGAAACGACATTATTTACGAAAGAGATGACGCGAAGCACTGGTGCTTACAGCTCAGAAGAAATGCTTTCGCCAGACCTCGTGATTTGTTTACCGAAGTTGCTAAACGATTATCGAAAATGATAAGATAGTTTTATCACCATACACAACACAACGTATGATAAATCTGTTAACAGATTCCTTAGCGTGTTGAGACTTTCGCCAGAAGAAGTTGCATTCAGTGTACCAAGCGTAATTTTTTGTTTTTTTATTTAATTTTTTAAAAAAATCTGACAGCTTTCAGATTTTACATTACGCCCAAAGGAGCGTTTTTTAACGTTTTGTGTGTTACCCTTCTTTATTAAATATATTCTTCGCACTTCAACCATAAATTTCAGTTCAGTAGCAATATCGTAAAATAATTTTAAAAAGAGGATATCTTTAGAATTTTCGATCCCACAGTCGCGAGCGCTGGAGATAAAAATGCTTTTTTTCCCCCGTACAGTGTTGTCATTGCTGGCTTTGAAACCGTTGAGTTTGTAAATCAAAAATTCGTTAAAGTTTTACAAAATATGAAATAGATAATAAAATAAATTCCAAATTTGGGCTTCCAGATGCCCATATTCCGGTGGAAACGTACGTTATTCAAAATTTGTGGCTGTAGGGACAATTGTTTTATCACAATGCTAGAAACATATATTACATTTATGCAGATTCTTCGTTATTTAATTTCTTTAAATATCATACAGGGCGATAATATTTGGTGGCAACAGTTTGATACAGCCTTTCAAAGTTTTCGACGCAAAATGCTAAAACGAAATTAATAACCTTTCTGGACTAACCCCCTTTAGTCTAAAAATAAAATAAGAAACTTTAAATACAAAATAAAATAAAATTTCTGAGGGGTTCAGATTTCAATTGTAGGCCAAAAAGGGCTCATTTAAAATTTAATATTGTTTATCAGTAGGCAAGGCAGAATAGGGGCTATAAGGTGCCCTTTGCAAGGCCGAATTTTAGTGTCCCATAAAGTATAACAATCTAAAAATTAAAATGTCATTAATTGCAAGAAATTTCTATTTCTTTACCATATTAAATGCAAGTTATACCTACGTATACTTAAAAATAAATTATCTAAATAAACAAATTTTCTCAACTATCTAAAAAATTCAAAATATTTTGGACCATATGGTATGTAATTCATTATACTTTTATTCTTGAAATTTTTTCTACTGTAAAATTTTTAATCAGATGTTTTACATTTAAACATGATTTTATCTATAATATCATTGATAAATCAATAAAGATGTTCTTCTAACACAATCGATCTCAAATATTTTTTCATTAATTTCAGCTTTGTAAACCTCCCTCCTCTGGTAGCTAATAATAATATGAATAATTCATAGCTAATGCTAAATAAATTCGCAGTCCTATGGAAGTATTTGGATACGCTACAAAGGCATACCTCTTTACAGGCAGAGAAATTTTGCAATTTAATCCAATCTAACCATTATATTAAAGCAAAGCTATTCATTTTACATTTGTAGGTGTAACAAATGTTTCAACTCTTAAATTTTTTCATATTGCTTTAAATACTTATATACTTATTTTTATTTAATGGCTTAGTCAAGTTCTGGTGCACATTGAACAACGGTATTATCATGACCACGCAACGGAAATCTCTAGCCTCCCTTTTACAGGATACTAACACCAGGAAAGTACCATATATAAATTGATACATTTCCCATCAGGCGCTCGTTTGTGCAGCGCAACCTAAACAACCTCATGCGGCGGCCGTGTTAGTAGAGTTTATGAACAGAGAATGGCTCAGGCGGAATAGCGAAACATTTTACAGGATAATAGATGAATATATAACTTAGACTAACATTATGTATCTTATAACAAACTTTAAACTTTATACATAACTAACATTATGTATAAAGTTTTTTTACGCTCCCTTTGACCTCGCAGATCTATGACCCTGACTTGCTGCTGGCACTTACTCCTGCTAACGCATTTCTTTTTATCTTTTTTAGCTTTATTATTAAGGTTCGTTTTCTTCGCACTTACGCCAAATACAACTCAACAACCAACAACTGTGTTTGTAGTTTACTGACTGCATCTGAGTATTATGACTTGTCGACTTACGAACCGATTTCATCGTAAGGTTTCATCAATAAGCTACGTTCTTTATTGAGGTGATAATGTATTGATAAATACCTCCTCAATTTAAACTTCATAAATCATTTAAAATTTTTTCTGAAACAGCACAACATTAGCTAATTTCATTCTGTATTAATTAGTAATATGTCTTCTGAATGTTTTCATAGCAATTCTAAATACTGTACATATGTATAAAATAATGTTGCATATTTAGTCTATATGCTGTATATATTGCACATACGTTTCGATTGTAATATAATATTTACTATATTTTTATAATACTACAATCTTTTGCCCCCCCCCCCAAAAAAAAAACTCATGTGGACACGACATGAGTTCATTGAACGGCCTATTAAATTATACACATTTTCATTTAAGCTTATTTCCTCGAATTCCATTAAAGATTTATTTTTAATTCAATCATTTTAATTCCTTAAAGTTCCTAGCACCCCGCACCATTACATCACGGGTAATGACTGTGGTCTTTTGTAAAATAAAGGCTGATTGGGACGTTTGGTCTTGGCCTCTCCACACACGAACCCGATGACTACTTCTTCAACACTGAAGCGAAATTCACCTCTGAACACTATGCGATACCAGTTGGGTGGCAGGTATGATGATCGGCTACGACGTCACTTCAGACGACTATGCCAATATTGTGGGATTAAAGGCAGACGTCTTAAAGGCCTCTGTGAACGCAGCCTTGGCTCAACCTAGCACCTTCAGATGGTGAAAGATGCTATGGGTGGTATAGAAGAGTCTCTAGCACGTTAGATAGTGGACAATGATCGCGCTGGGCTTGTCGCACAATCATCCGATATTGCCTCGCACACATGTACTTTCAAATGCCTTCCAAAATCTTGATTCCGCGAATGAGTGCCTTGCACCAGTCATTGCCAGTAGTCCTTGCACAGCCTTGTTCCTATGGAGCATGTGACAGTCTATTTCTTAGCATGTTCGACAGTCTCAAACGCAGCCTTGGTTAGCATTCTGCCAAAACGCACAAAAACGTGCAAAAGGGGACGATAATTATGTGTCGAGGGGTGAGAGATCACATGAAAGTCCTCTCTTTGTCGGAAAGAGGGAAATTGTTTTGCAGCCTGGAAAACAAAAAAGTCGAAATTTCCTTGCATAATTTTTTAATTTTGTATGAACAATGCATACTTCATTATTTACTTTTAAAGATTTACCACTATGTTATATTGTAATTGACCACTATGTAACCGGAATTCCACCCTCGTATTGCTTTCCAGTGGTTTCGAAACAGAAACTACTAGAAACATCTCGGCGGCCCGGTTAAAAACTATACAAGACTGGAGAGAGAACATGTGCTCAATTCTCTCAGTTCTCATAGTTAGTTGCTTAGTTATTGCGAGTTGTTAAATCCACGTGAACTGAAATATACCCAAGTTAGCTTTCTCTTTAGATGAGCTTTGCATTGCGTGGTGTTTAATGTTTTCGGTAATTTGAAGTATAACTACTAATTGTACTCTGGAATACTGTGAACATCTGTACGAGAATTTTGAAGTGTTTCTTTTAATTAAATAATTTTTATTAACATATCATCGCACCTGTGTGCATTCAATTTACTACGAACCAGTACGCATGCAATAATATTTTACTTTTCTCCTTTAAAACTAACATCACACTGAAGGTTTATGTGTTGGTATTACAACAGAAAAATTTGTTGCTAAAATGTATTCGCATTTTATTTTTCATACTGTAAAATGAAAAAATTGCCAGTCGTGTAAAAGCCCAAAGACAGAGGATAATATATCCACAGAATTTCTGCCCTATTGTTGGCACTTCAACATTGTTAAAACGTCTTTTTCTGACATATTTTTATCAGTTACTGTTATTCTAAAAATCTTTTTCTTTAAAAATGTTTTTTACTTTTATGTAAACATTACGCATGTTTGTTTACGCATGTTTACGCATGTTTATGTATGTATGTTATAATGTATTTATTTACCATTTTCGGAACTCTGTCTGGTGCTACTTTGGTAGACGGGTGCACGGGTTTTGGGAGATTTTTTTTTTTGGCGCAATTGTTGGTGCGATTTTACAATTACCTGCCATCTTGAAAAACGCCGTTAAGCATAGCAAATTATTCTAAACTTTAAAAATATGCAATATCGTTGAAAATAATGTATTAATTTTTTGTTGAAAGCGCCGGTTTTCAAGCTGGCAGGCGATTGTAAATAAATACATTTACTACGAATATAAAATACTAAAGTAAAGTTAAATTATCACTTTTATAGCAAAGAAATATCGGGTTTTAACGAAGTTTCCCGCCACCGCAAACATTGTCTGTGCAAACAGCTCGCATTGGCGTGTTCTGCCATATTTTGTCAAACGATTTTTGGCATTTGAAAGAAAGAATTGCTTTAGAACACCGTGTTGTGAAATTTGTAAAAAAAAATATCGTTGTTATTAAGTACAAGGTGTCTGAAATGGAACTGTCACGCTAAAACCATCATTTACTTCCATTTCTGTTTAAAAATGTCAGAAAATCATATATACAGCTTTAGTACCTAATGCTGTATCATATAACAGTGTGAAGGTTTAGAAACAAAAGTTCAAAAAAAAGGACTATGACAGCATTCGAGAAGCAGAACGCTCTGAACGGCCTGCGAGGACTTGTGGAAGAAGATCAGTATGAATAGGGAACCTGTAAACTAACATTACTAAGGTATGTACACTGCTAAAAAAAAAAAAAAAAAAAAAAAAAAACCAGTGCTGTATATCCCGTTCTGCTGGGCCGACTGACAAAATTCAAACTGCGTTTTTCATGGCTCGAAAGCGCGACATAGGATATATATTAGATTTATATATAGCACTATTCTAACATAGGTATTTTGACACAAAATCAGGACTTTTTCTGAAATAAATATCATATTTTTTTCCATAT